CAAAACCCGATTAAGGTTCTGCCAGGTGGTACTTTACATGCACACTTTACAGGCCATGGCAATAGAACGAGACATTGCCTTGGAAGTCCTAGGAATCCTAAATCATTATACATACTCTATAACAGGACTATCTAGGGTTTTCGCGCCATACTACCATACGATGCTTAATGCAGAGGAGTCCCCCCCCAATAGATTATGTCAAGGCGTACCCTAAAGCGGTAGCAGCAATTAAAGCTTTAATGAGACCGTTTCCTTTCACCTTCCCAGTGAATGCCATTATTCATGTGGATGCATCGAATACTCATATTGGTATAGCTGACGGAATGGAGGACCGTTTCTCGTTCACATTTGAAGAAGCCAAGCACGCTCTTGAAATACCGGACCAATCGACTCATCATATAAACCAGAAGGAGCTTTTGGCCATCTGGGTAGGGTGCAAATATGCCCTCAATAAATATGGCACGGTCCCAGCCTTGGTCACGGATAGCCAAGTAGCGTATACCATAATCAAAAAGGGAGGATCAAGGTCCCCAGCTTGCGAATTCCTGGTTACCAAGATAATGCTAGCAATTGGTTTCCTCAATTTCGTTCACTTAGCCCGAAATCTAACTTGGATAGCCTCCGAAGCGAATCTAGCAGATACCCCCAATTGATCAAGCCTTCCCGTTCATGAGAGCTTCGACGCCCCTCAGATTAGACGAGGAAGTGGACAGCCAAAACTTTGTCATCCCCGAAGCAGCAAACATCGATGCACTAGAATACGATTTCGACCCGGCCATCTTTGAGGACACCCTCAACTTGACGGACGAGACTATAGCTTCGGCGGTTCTATTAGCTAACGAGGAACAACAAAGAGTTGGCCCCGAGGAACAATAGCCCTTGCACCACCCCCCCCCCCAATATTATAACCAATTATTAACAACTACTTTGTAAATATATACTAGCATTATTAATAAATAAATTATATATCATGGAAAAACCACTTAAAAATTATCAGCTCAATAGCTATCACCCACCCATGGCCCCAAAGTTATACTTAAAAAGTATAGATGTAAATTACTAGGCCAAGGGTGGGAATGAGGACAGGCAATACCCCTCCTCCCCTCGCTATTAAGCCGAATCCCTATTATCAAAACCGATCTGGGGGAAAAATTCTTAGGGACCCAAATCCAGCCCAAAAAGGAGTGAAGAAAGAAAGTCCTATGCCTATAAATAGGCAAGTCAAGAAATAAACAATTGTTTTTCGATTATATTCTTCAAAATAAATTGTTTTATTCCTTGATCGTTGGGCCCCAAAAATTTTCCCCCAGACGTCAATCAACATTATCACCATTTTATCATTGTATTGTATAAATCCGCGATATTATTATGTAAATACTAATCGCCATTTATGTTTATAATATTATTTGCAAAAGCTAATAAAATCAGTTAGATGGCCCGGCGCGGCCTCAGGGCTCTCCAGTACCTTGTGTACTGGGGAGTCCTGCAAATTTTGGATGATATTTCTTCCATTTTAACGATTTTTTTTAAATTTTCAATTTAAATACAAGTGTTTAGTCCCCTAGTATCTATTAATATTAATATCAAATTTACTTTAAAAATTTTCTAGGAGATATAAGCCATGTTCCCAATTTTTAGCGATTTTTGTTTTCGCGATTTAGAACGGGAACCGATATTATTGTTCTTATGATTTATTTTAAGAATATTATGTCCATAGTACTTACTTTTTCAGAATGAAGATGATTTAACCCTTCCTTGACCCCAATTTGATATATTTTATAACAATAAAGAAAATTAATGGTACCTACCAAGAAATGTAGATTATATCCCAACGCAAATATCTCAACCTCAATATTCAGCAGTTCAAACTTTAAAAAGCATAGGTAAAAAGATGAATTAATGTATCATTATTTTAAGCATTACTTTAATAATAGAATAATATTCTTTCATAATATTTTGAATTAATCATGGAATTAAAATATAAGTAGGGCTGTGTCGATATTAAATATCAGATCGGCACTGATATTTAGCGTTTTCCAAAAATATCGGATCGGGTCGATACGTGTAAAAAGCCCGATTTGATCTTTTTACTTTTCTTTTTTTTTGTTATTTTATGTTATGTTTACGTTATTATAATATTTTCTAAATATGCAAATACACAACACCCTCTTAATTTTATTTCTTTTTTAAAATAGATTTATATTATTTTAAAAGTTTTTTTATAAAAATAGAAAGGAACACCCAAAGTTTTATTTATTTTAAATCTTTTTATATAATAACGCCAATTTTATTATTTATACTTTAAATAAAATAATTTTTTTAAATATGGTATCTGAATAATGGAAATATTATACAAAAGACAAAGGAAATTTTGCAAAATGCGTTATCTGCGGAATCATATAAGTCTGCCTTCAGTACGCAAGGGATATAGATAGTCCATATCGTATAAGCTTATTGCCAGAATATCTAGAGGCTCTCATATTTTTTAAAAAAAATCTAATATATTATAATTTTATATATTAAATATTACAATTTTATATATTAAATATTACAATTTTATATATTAAATATTACAATTTTATATATTAAATATTACAATTTTATATATTAAATATTACAATTTTATATATTAAATATTAAAATTTTATATATTATATATTACAATTTTATAATTCATACCAATATAAAATGGATATATTATCAAATATATGTTTTTTTAATTATAGTCTTAATTGTAGATAAAGAAATTAAATTAAATGCATAATTTGATTTTTTGCATAAAAAATATTGATTTCTTAATTACATTTGGTTCAAATGGGGGTGGTGAAAAATTAATATAAATATCGGATCAGTATCGGATCGGTTTTAAAGCAATATCGGATCGGTGAAAATATGTGGATCGGCGCAGCCCTAATTATAAGCAATTATATTATACTATAGTATTGGGATGGGAACCAACATTAACAAAATATTGGTTTTGGTTCAAAGTATTATATTAAGTTTTTTAATCAATATCTTCTATTTCTTGTTAGTATTGCTATTGGTTTGACTATAATTGTTAATAAATTTAAAGAATAATTTAAAAACTTTGTTTAAATAATATATATATGAATAGTGGCGAAGCCAGGATTTATCCAATAATAAAATTTTACAGACTGTCGTATTGGGATATGGAATCATGTGGGATTCGGAATCCCAACGTGGGGATTCAAGATCTTGAATCCCCAAGTTTTATTCGGGATCTTTTTTTTTAATATTCCGAATCCCCATGAAAAAAAAATTAAATTATATAATTACTTTTTCTTCTCTTTTTTTGCGGCTGGCACCATATAATTAAAAGGCCAAAATAAGGGATTTAAAAAGAGAATTTAAAAAAAAGTAAATAGTATAAAATTAAGGCATATGATGAATAATTAATTTGCTATAATCATAAAAATATTAATTTTTTAATAAATAATTAATTATTTTTATAAGATATTAAAAAATGTTTTGCAATTTATAATAATATGCGATATAAATATAATAAAATAAAATTTCATAAATATTTAACCTTAAAATCAATAAAACATCTTATTAAAATAATTTTTTAATCGTAGAGCAGTCTATATTAATATAAGTCCATGCTTCCACCAGCTTGATGCCGAAATCTGACTAATGGTTATGATTTCTAACGTATTTCACATTATTTTTTAACAAAAATAGCGCTTTTACAGCGAAAATTTATTATATCACCACAGATGGATTAATTATTGCCATCAAGCAAAATTCCTAGTTCTTTTATCATATCACAAGCTTGGCCGAATTCATTATTTGTGTTGTCCTTGATATTGGGGATCTAATAAGTAATTAGCATTATGAGCAGTTGTATTTACATCATTTTTTCTTATTTCAAACATATTTATAATTTATTTCTTTTATGATGAAAAGATATTGGCACGATCGATTGAATAATGTTGGTTTAAAGATAACTACGATTTTTTATTTTGGGAAAGTGCATTTGTCCCCTTGAATTCTCAATATTGACATAGCTAACGGTTTAAGTTTATCTAAAAAATTGTTCTTTGTCTAAAATATGATCACTTATTTCTCATGATATATAACAGTTTCTTTATGACGGAAGCTTTTAAAGCTCTTTTGCAAATTTGTATTTGTTGCATATATTTATTAAAGAAGCCCACCTCGTAAATTAATAGTACTTAAAGTAGATGATATGGCATGGTGTAGCGGAGAAATAGTGCACTTGGTATAGTTTTATTTTTTAAAAATTTAACAATTTTTTTATAATAAAAATATATGAATCAAATATATACACTTTCTCTCGAAAAAATAATTGAAATGTGTGAGCGATATATCCATAAAATTGAATATGACTAAAGGCTGATTTGAATTAAAATTCTCCAAGCTCATATTAGCACATTATTCGCAACTAAAGAATATACTTGTGTAGGATTTAATTCTTCAATTATATTTTTAAATTGCCTCAAAATAATCTCCAGTATGGCGATTTTCCTGAATATTAAAAACCCCATAAAATACGGGAGAACCGATATCATAACTATAAAGTTTATGATGCTTTCTTAATCACATTTATAAATATAATATCTGAAATAATAATTAATTTTTTTCCAAAAATTCAAGATTCCAAAATTTCCTAGATTATATTATATTTAACCTTTTAATGCAATTAAATTGATAAACAGTTCATTTAAAAAAATACATAATAATATTTTTAATATTTAGAATATATGACTGGTCAAATATACTTTCTATCAGATGACCTTATTTGCCAACCTTAGATAAAAATGATAACTCAACTGCAAATATCAAAATTGGATCATCAAGTAGATTTTATAAAAAAAACTATTGGCTGGCAATCAGCTGATAAGGGTACTTTCGGGCAGTAAATAAGTTTAAATATGTAAACAGTCTTCGTTAAAAACAAAAACGGATATTATTTCGTAATATTAAATGAAAATAATTTATGATGTATAAAAAGGTACATTTTTAGATTTTGAATATCCAATTATGAGCAATGATTTTCCATGATATATTTCGTTATCTTTTCCAAATGATGATAAATTTTGAGCTGCTAGTTCATCTTCTGTAGAAAATGGTACAAGTGTCGAGCCATATTTATAAGCTTAAGTTAACATTTTTGGGTATAAACAAATGGTTAAAATTAATGTATCAATCACTCATTAATATTATATTTTAATTAATTTATCTTTTCTCTCGATCCTCATTAATTTATTCTTCGCTGTAAATATATTACAATATTTTCTCTTTCGTTTTCTAATTTAACCGGTGCCTAACTGAATAAAGGGAATGGGATGAGGAGGGGTTGGTAGGAGTATTTTGGGCAAATATTTCAGGGAGTAGGGAATAAAAAATTTATTTGGGAATAGGGAGTTACTGGCTTGTTATCTCCAATTTTTTTCTCTCGTCAGGGCGCTAATTTATTTTTTTATGGGACAGAAAATCATTTCGTGGGAAGGCACAACATTATTAAGGATATGACACTCAAAATGGATCTCCTGGAATTTGAAGACGAACCCCCCCCCTAATTATTTTTAAAAAATTTATCACAATTTAATAACTTGCCAACCTTGATAATGACATAAAAATTGAATATGTGTGAAACAATTTTCCTCGAAATAATATTTAATTTTGAAATCTAGTGTCTAACAACAAGACTAATACCTTATAAAAATAAAATAAATGCATTCTATAAATAATAATACGAATACATAAAGATCAGTCATTGGAAATCTATGATTTACTTTATTGCGCATGTTTTGTTTGCGAAGAGACAAATAAACCATATATTCATTGGCTATCAAATGATTAGATATTTCATTATGAAAGAGTGGAGCTAAATTTATGATATCTTTCACTAAATCCTTAATAGAATTAAATAATATTTTGTTTCTCATTTATATTCAAGTTAGTTGGGCCTACTTCTACACTCTCCCCCTTCAAAAAAATAAAAACTAGAAAAACATAACTCCTCTTACCCTTCTTCGATTTCAATGCCGATCTTGCGCTTTACCTTCTGTGGTGGAAGTGCCTGATTGGACCTTTGGGTTAAGCATTATGATATGTCAACGAGACACATTTAGTTTATCATCCAAATTTAATATATCTGAAGTGTTGTTTGTTTTAGAGCATTTTTTATTTTAAAAATCAATTACTTCTTCTTTGAAGTCTTAATTTTAATGCAACGGTAATTTCTAATTCTCTTAAGAATATTTTCTCTTCTATTTACATTCTTTATTCCATGTGACATGAATATGTATTATTATAAAATATTACTGTTAGATTTTAATAATAAAACATTCCCAAATTTCCTTTAGTGAGACATCCCCATTATCTTTAACATTATTAGGCACGCTTAAAAGTATTTACACAGGTGTACTGAAAGGTAGTGTCTTGGTTTGAGTTTAAACCTTTAACCGAACTTTCTTTAAAAGCGAAATTTACCAGTAAAATAAAATTGATATTTAACAATATTCTACTATTGCATTGCATAATGAAAAATTATAAAACCTTTTACATAATTAGGCATGAATTTCAAATCAACATCCTCAAATTCTTCTTCGTCTTCGTCATTCAAGATAATTAATTTCCTTTTGTTTGTATTAATAACTTTTTTGTCATCTAAAATCATGTCTTTAAAAAAATTTTAAGTCTTTTCTCGTAATATATAAGCTGAAGTTAGAAGCATAGACATTAGGCATGTCTATTAAAAACAAATCGAATATTCAATTCGTTTCGAATAATAGTAACGAATATAAATTTAAAAAATTCTTTTAATTCGAATGCGAATAAAGAATTATTCGAATTATTTAGAATAATAAATGCCAATTAGTGTATTGTTTGATTTAAATATCCTAGTCAATTTGCGTTTTGCCAGCAAAAGTTCATGATGAAATTATCTGAGATTAATAGGATAATCCTACATAACTGGATACATTTTTGAAAAAATCAGATTACCAAAATGTAAAAAAATGCTTTAACAAATGATTGTGCTATTTATCAAGTTTAAATCATTATTTAGTCTGTTTTAAAAATTTAAATATATTAATTTTTCTAGAAATGTAATACAGCAAGCGTAGAATTAGAACACAAAATTTAAAACAATTTTATAAGATATTACGCGATTTAACTAATGCAATACGCATATTGGCTGAATATGCGATTTGATTCTAACATATATACAGGAGAAATATTATTAATAATGTATGGAGTATTGTAGTATTTTCATAAAATAAAAAATAACCAAGCCATGATTAAGAAATTATGATAAATGACAGAGATGTACCAATATAAATACATAGTAACGTTGGCTGATGAATTAACCAACACTTTAAATTTTAATCAATATTAAAAAATTTGACCAGAGTTCTGGATTCGACAAAATTTTCAGTAATTCTAATTTTTGTTATAAATGGTGTTAGATATAGGTCTGATTCAAAAAAATTTAAATTGAGGTTCAATCCAAGCGTCGAATCTATGCCCGAGTCATGCTAGGCCCGGTATAAATAGAGATTACTAATAAATTCTTTAAATTAGTGGCCTAAACAGCTCGATTTTTAAAAATGGCTAATTCAATTTTTTATCCAGAAAAATATTAAGCAAGTCTTAAGATTTTGGTCAGAGATGGCATAATTGGACATTTATTAACAAAATCTCGATGCTTAGGCAATATTTTCTGGCTAAAATAATGAGTTAGCCGTTTTTAAAAATAAGCTCAAATTAAGCGGTTTAATAACACTACTCCAAATTATCGAAATAAGTCGATCTGGTTGACCAAATCTATCGACCCAAGCAACGATCTAAACAAAACTTAATATACTATTTTATTGTCTATATTTATCTCATTCATATTTTTATGTAAATTTTTTAATGAAAATAATAGTTCAGAACTTGAATTATGAACTAGAGGCGAGTAGTTCAATATTAACATCGAAATAATTATCTTGTTATTATAAAACTAGAATATTTTTTCACAAATTGTTCTTTTCTTAATCTGCAAATATTGTATATTTTTAATTACACTATCAACTCGAGTAATAATCGTGAAAATTATGAACTCGAGGACTAGTAGTTCAATGCAATAATAATTAATAGTGTTGTTAAATAGTCTAGATCATTTGACTCTGAATCAGAGGTCGGCTAATTCAAAACTCGATTAGTGATATCAAATCATGAACTCAAGGATGTATTTTAATTTAAAAATTATATTAATTTTAAGATCAATATTTCTAGACAAATTCTATTTTAATGGCACTTTTAATATAAATATTGATATAAGTTTTGAATCAAATTTTGACTATTTTTTTTATAATATCAGCTCAATAAATTTTTTAGCTTATAATACCAAATTAAGCATTATGCAACCTTACATAAATATAATAAAAATGTCTGTATCTAACATTTGTATAGTTATTTGTATCAAGATATGTTTTAGACAATGTATCAGTATCTAGATCGGTTTAATGACATCTGCATATAGATTATTTTAAAAGTTTTTTTAACAACTCTGATAAATACTATTATGTTTCCAGGTAAATTTTTAATGTTATTAAATATATGTTACTTTATGTTTATTTTGAAAAAATGTTTACACAATTTTTAAGATTTAGAAAAAAGTTAACATATTTTTTTCTGTGATTAGATATTGGATCAGTTTAATAATCAATCAATAATCACTTTACACCAATAAATGACCAGACCAACTTTATATTAAAATATTGGTAAATCCCTATAATTATAATCAAGCAATTGTTAGTAATCAATTCCTTTTTAAAAAATTAAGCCCAACCCAAAATGTTAACAAATTTGTTTCTTTTAAAATTATAGGAATTTATTTACTTGTGCTTTCATCTTTAATTTGATTGTAAACTTTGTGGGACATAGTTATATTTGATTCTTCAATAATTTTTTTCCATGTCCTAGGAAAAGTAGCATTTTTAATTCTGTAAAACCCTCTTATGGGAATGGACAACAAATCTTGATTAATCTTAAGAGAGTTGTAAAGGGACATTGATTTGATAGCCCTTATAGATGTCATTTGGTTAGAGTTAATTGACTGGAAAACTTGGTCAAAGGAATATGACTCAATTATTGGTTGTGCTTCATTTTGTTGATCTTTTATTTGGATATTGTAGAACTTTCTGCTAAATTGATTAGTTTCTATTTATCAGTTAAAATATTGAAAGAATGTTAGTAATCATTTGATTTAAAATAATCATTAGACAATATTTTTCAAATATTTTACCTTTTTTAAGCAATTGGATTATAGCTAAATTATGTTCAAAAATGTCTAATTTATGATCTGTTTTAATTTCCGAGTTGTTAGAGATCTTTATTTTTAGTAAGGGCTTGTTTTGGAATATATTTAAACTTAAATTTTTCAATTTTGCATTAAACTCAAAGTTATTTAAGTTTAGACCACTAATATGTTAATAAAATATATATAAATAAATTGATATTAAATATATGCTAAAGATAGTTTATTTAATTTACACTATGTTCATCTTTATGTGAGATTTATAAAATGTTTCACATATATTCCTAAGATTTTTCAATGATGCTTCATCACATATATTGCCTTTAAAATTAGTAAAGAGGATAATCCTTCTATCAATGAAATTATTTTTGTTTTTATAGCATGGTGATTTCTTAATTTTTGCTTCATTCTCATTATAAATATTAGGAAACGAGTTTATTAACATATCCTGGCATAATAATATTGCATCTAAAAAATATCCATTATGAGTATCAGAAATCTCTGAATTGACTTTTAAGTTCATTATATTCTTTAAGAAATACAAATCAGGAACATCTATATTTGGAATAATACTATTTAGTACCAATGATAAAATACCAAAAGCTCTTGCAATTTCAACATTATTAAATTCTAAATAATTTGAAGTAAATTGACTATTAAATAATACAAGAGATATCTGATCCTTTGATAAAAAAAATATCTATGAAAATAATAATTTAATGTAATGACAAAATAACAATAAACTTTTCTTTGTAAAATTTTAATAATACATCTCTTAGATAATTCAAAAAAACTTTTCTTATATTCATCATTAAAATCGTTAGAATTAGTTCCGATATCAAGGCAAAATATTAAGGCTTCAACCTTTTTATTATTCATTTGATATCGAAATCACAGATGATTTTTCCTATTTTTTTAAATAAAATAGTAATTTTAAATTATTTTATATCATGCTTTTTTTTAATTTAATGGGAATTAAGATTTATGTATTCATGTACCAGAGTCTCCATAAGAACTTTTCAAATTTATCTAGATAGAAATGTTAAAAAGTTTATTGTATCAAAATATTAAAATATATTTTTTTATTATAATCATATAAGGTGGGTGAGTATGTCAAAATAAAATATTATTATAAAACATAGTAAAAGTTTTCTATATAAATAGTAAATATCTTAAAAAATTATACGCTATTATTCTTTTTACATAATATTTAATTTCTAAAGATAATATTGGTTGAATGGTGGTAAAAAAAAATTTCAATGGGGCTTGCGAAAAACATGTGCATACTTTCCTACACCTTTATTCTTATGTCAATGAATTAAAATCCTAGAAAGGTTTCAAATTTTGACCTCTGAAATAAATTATTATTTCAAAATTTATAATATTGTCTCTCCTAATATACTCCTGATATTTTTATTTATTGAATATTCATTACTGTTTATTAAATCACACTTTTTCATAATTTGATTATTATAATTGACTTTTATCGTTAAATATTATTGGATGGTTCACCTGTGCACTTGTCTCATACTTTATTATAATCTAGAGTAATGCCGAATGATCATTCCCTCATATCTATATTATAATTTTCCGATGTCCTCACTACGTCATCGTGATGTCATGTCATCGCTACGTCATGTCATCGCTACGTCATGTCATCGGTACGTATTTATTTTTATTTTTTTTATTTGTTGATTTTATTTATTTATTTTATACAAACAGATGAATGGAATTTCGAGAATTGATGGTGTACACATACCTAACATGGATTGAGAGATTTGAAAAATCGTCTTTGAATTGATAAAAACAATATTCCCTCAACTTTGTAAATATTATTTCGCGTAATCCTTTCTTTATTTTTTAGATTACCTTATCAATTTTCATTTCATATTATCAATTACACATTAATGAAATCTCTACAAGATAGTCAACTTGTATATTTATTTTGAACATACTCACAATTTTTGTCAGTACTTACATTACAATTTTTTATACTCGCATTTTTCTTTCATAATTAATAATTAAGAAGATAACCAAGTATATTCAAATATTCTTATCCTAACCTATTTATAATCTCCAATCCTTATAAATAACTCTTTCTTTATTTTTTTCCCTTCCCTTAATGAATTTGTTTATCACTAAATTTTATTATCTCATTCTTTTCTATCTATCTCTATTATCTACTTATCAATTCCCTTAATTTAATTTTTATAATATAATAATTTATACCTTCTTTTTCCCCCCTTTTTTAATCTTATTTTTTAATTAACTTACAATTAATTAACCTTAATCTTAATAACATTACATTCATCATGTTATTTTTTAACTTTTAGAATATCATAATAGGCTTGATAAGACCTCTAAAAAATTTTTTTGATAATAGCCAAACATCAATTCCTTTAATTTAATTTTTATAATATAACTAGTAGATAGCCCGTCAAAAATGGCGGAGAATGAGAATTTTAATAGTTTTTTAAGAAAGATGTTACCTTTTATTTAAAAATCATATCCAATTTATATTATTTTTAAACCCCACCCCCTCTCAATTTAGGTCAAGTCCAAGCAATGTCATTGAGTCCAACCCATTAGGACTAAGAGTGGAAGCTATTATTTGAGTCAAAATATATTTAAATGAGCTTGTAACCAATACCAAAATTCTTTGTAAATATATTACTGATTACATAAGACTAACATTTAACATTAAAAAATTTCAAGCCAGGTCCAAGCTCATAATATTTGGGAAAAATTTCCAAGCGTTTAAGACCTTATAATTTTTTAAAAAAATTTCTCAAGCCTAGCTCAACCCATAATAATTTTGAAAATTCTTTCCTAGCCCAGCCCATAATAATTTGTAAAAGATATTCCCAAGTCAGGTGCAAGCAAATATTAATCTTGAGCAATATTTCCCAAGCCCAGTCCTACCTATATTAATTTTCAAAACTTTTTCTCAAACCCGGAGATAGTTAAATTTCTAAATAATTTATCATCACATGAAGGGGAAATCTCGGATTTACCAATTAGTGGGTTAACTCCTTTTATCAAAAAATTTGATAAGGGCTATCTATATCTTTATATTAAGTACAAAAAAAATGCTATCTATTTAAAAAATGCCATTCAATACTAATGAAACTTATATGCAATTTATTTATATATTTTTTAAGAAATGTGTTTTTCTTGCCATATAAATTTAGGTAATTTTTTAAAAAAATGATGAGGATTAGTTATTATTTTGTGCGGCTGGTAAAATTAAGAGCAAATCCTTTATGACATTTTAATTTTTGATGGAAAAAGCGACAAAATAAATCTGGGCAGTCGTCTGCAGAAGAAATAATAAAGGTATAATATCATCCCATTTAAGGTTGTAGGTGAAAGTAATGAATAATGACGGATTTGTACAATACCTATTGGGTCCTGATAAAGCTGAGGCCCTGGGCTACTGGTAAAAGAAGAACGCAAAATAATATTTCTGCCAAAGTGTCAGTCTTGGTATCCCCCTCTAAAATAGAATCATGAACGACATTGTCAACTCAACCATAAAACGGTCGTAAGTATTGTTATAAAGGCCATGACAAAACTACAGCATATTTTCCCATTAATAATGCTGATGAAATTGACCACACTACACCTTCTCGTTTGAACATCCCTCTAAATATTCATGAAAGTTCATCAGGGAATCGGATAAAGTATTATTTATATTAACTCCTAGTTAGGTGAATGATAGTGGAATTAAATGCTTTTATTTGTTAAAAATTAGGCAGAGGTGGCATAGGGATTGTGGTAGTGGTGATAGAAATATCATTTGGAGGCAACTGGGTGTATAAAATAAACATATAGATATAAAACATTATATAAAAAACAAAAAAAGCCTACAGAGGATTTCACAGTTCCTTATTATCTTGGCCACCAGTAACTCTAGAACGGGTAAGGCGTTTGTTGAATAGGATTTTTTTTCTTTGCTTTTAATTTAAGTTTAAGGATATGTTGTTAGGAACGCCATTAGTGATCATAGAAGATACTCTCAAAAATTGAGAAGCAAAGGGGTTGTAGGTGTGAACAATATCCTGCAATTCCATTAAAAGACAACGATCTAAAAACGGAACCTGGTTATGTCTGTTTTCTATCTCATTTATACTATCATGTATATATAATTGGGCAAATTTAGGTGTTTCCCCTAATGTTGGTAGGAGTGAACCAATGCGATGATGAACCTGTCCATTAATTTGAAAGGTATAATTACCTGATTGTGAATTGGATAAATTATTATTTATATTAACTCCTAGTGAAGTGAATGACAGTGCGGAATTTTATGCTCTTATGTTTGTTAAAAAGTGGGATGATGATGATCCCCGGTAAATAAACGTAATAAATTTGGTGGAATTGGGAAATTTTAAATAAAATTACCTTCCCATTCAAGTAACATGTAGAAAACTGAATATTTCTACATGATCTTTTTGATAATTTTTCTCCATTCCACATTTTAGCATTGCAGAAGGCGCATATTTCTGTCATGTTTCCGATATCTAATATAGGTGAGTGGTGGTCATCAAATATATGTCGAAATATGCATGGTAGAGGTGCCATAAAGAATGTGGTAGTGGTTATAGAAATATCAGTTGAAGGTATCTGGGTGAATATAAAATAAACCTATATATATAAATAATTAAAAACCTGCAGGGGAGTTAATATCAGGCGTAGGCCCTTATTATCCTGCATACCTGTAATTCTAGAACGAGTAAGGCGTTTAATGAGTCGCCATTTTTTTCTTTGCTTATCTTTAATAGAAATATCATGTTTTGTAGCTATGTGAGGGATCAAGTTTGGGTTAACCTAAAAAAATAAGGAAATCAGGCAAAAATATAAAACATTATTATTGAAATAAAACGAACATTAAAATACTGTACTGAACCTGTAAAGGGGTCAATATATGCATAACTCTAATAGTTGGGAGGCTATCATTACAAAATAAAATTTGTCTAGTTGGGGACTTATCGAGACTATCATGTTTTTCTGAACATTTATTTTGTATTTGATTTTTAATGGTAGATATATCAATATTTAAACAATTTTAAGGAGGAAATAAAGCAGGGTTTGTTATCTAAAAAAACAAATAAAAAAAATTTTAAAAAATGAATGCATTAAACTTGCAGAGGAGTCAAGATTAGGATCAACTCCCTAGAAATAGTGGGAATATCATCAGAAGCTAAAATGGATGTATTCTAAAAAATAAAAAAATATAAGAACATTTATGCTTTTTTAGTATATATATATATACACACTTACTTTATTATGTGTTGTTATTATATTTTGCTGGGATTCACAATCCCTATAACTATTCTTTTGTTGATTGACCTGCCATCTTTTTCTTTCATTAATGACGGATAAATCACCATCTGTACAATCATTAAATGAGGTTAAGACAGGGTTTGTTATCTAAAATAAAAACAAAATAATAATTTAAAAAATATAAATTCATTGAATCTGAAGAGTAGTGAATATAAGGTTCAACTCCCTAGAAATAGTGGGAATATCATCAGAAGCTAAAATGGATGTATTCTAAAAAATAAAAAAATATAAGAACACTTATGCTTTTTTAGTATATATATATATATACACTTACTTTATTATGTGTTGTTAGTATGATTTGCTGGGATTCACAATCCCTATAACTATTCTTTTGTTGATTGACCTGCCATCTTTTTCTTTCATTAATGACTGATAAATTACCATCTGTACAATCATTAAATGAGGTTAAGACAGGGTTTGTTATCTAAAATAAAAACAAAAGAATAATTTAAAAAATATAAATGCATTGAACCTGAAGAGG